AAAAACGGGCCGGAAAACATGAAATTTTGGTATAATCTTGCTCCGAAGTATGTGATATTCAAATTTCGCTTTCTGGGCCAAAACTACTCGAATTTTCTCACTCACGTTGTTACGACTGAATCGACTTTTCAATTCAATTTCAAGATCATTTATTTCTGTCTGGAATGATGTAGAAACGAGCGTTCTTGCTCATTTTGCTTCCGGGAAACATGCAAAACGGGACAAAAAATATGAAATTTTGCAGTAATCTAGCGCCACGCTTGCACAAAACGACGATCATTTTTCTAATTTCATAGATAACAGAAGACTGTATTTTTTCTACATAATCCGCCCTGACTTTAAAGCTGGATCCGCACCTGATTTAATGTAGCATGTTTTTTGTTCAGCTTCGTCAAGGAGCAATACTTATTAGAAGTGGAAAACCGCGCCCCCTGCTACCTGCAGGAAATTCACGAAGCGATGCTAGATCGAACGGGACCTGATGGAAACCAAAGCCTATTGGTCAACATCAAGGTGACCCCGCCCCATGGCCCCGATTCAGGCATCAAATATTGCACGGGCAGTTTGAAGAAGAAATATGTGAGTGGCGTTCTGCCTTCTATCTATTCATCCTGCATATGGTTAACTATCTTTGATTCCAGACTCCCACTTGGATCGATCTGTGCACCATCGAGGAATTGGGGTTTATAGCCTTTCGGGACGATTGCTCAGTAGAACTGAGCCGCTTGAACGGCATCCCCATCTACATCAGATTCAAGTCGAGCCTTCTGATGCTGTCCTTTGTTAGTTTACTGGATGGCTACTACAGGCTGTCGTGCAAGTGGACATTCAATTTGTGCCAGAAGCTCAGAACCGAATCTTTAAGCAAACTGTACTGGATGAAGTGCCACGGTCCAGTAGGGTAAGTCTTGTATATGCAGACGCAAATCAGCGGGGTTCTAAATAAGGCACCCTTCGTGCACTCCCTAACTGATACGCCGATGGAAAAACTAGCAGTTTGAAAGCAAATTCTGAAGCGGCAACGCATTTTACACAAAATAGTTCTCTAGGTTTATTGGGTTAAAATTAGCCGTTTTTGAAAAAGGTTTTCGCAGTTTTTTTGCTGCAAAACTGTCAAGCTCTGACCATGTTAAAAAGTAATGCCGGCGTCGCCCCCTTGAGGCCTCAATGAATGATTGATTTTAGGGGTCAGTTTTCCTATCATAAGCTGGAGATTAAGGCTTCCAACCAAGTGGGCTCTTACATTATTCGTGAAAGCGAGTCGAGCTACAGCACTTACTACATTGATGTTTGCGTGAAGGCGAGGTAAGTCGATCGCTGATCGTTTCGTAGGCCCATTCAAAAACCGTCTGTTTTCCAGTTCGAAACCGATCAGCTTGAAAGTGTCCGTGGTAGCGGACGGCTATATGTTGGAAGGCAATGCGACGATATTCGATAATATGCAAAGCCTCATCAAAGCCTACAAGGATCCAGACGGTGAAATCTACTTTAGGGAGTGTGTCCCACCGTCGGATTTTGGTGAGTGTTGCTAGAATATTAAACGGATTTATTATCAGTTATTCTAAAGGGCGTTCCAGTAAAAACGACGGATTTGGATTTTAAATTAAACATAAACTCACGGTTAATGCTTGACCAACTGCATTTTGCACCCACAATGTTGGAAAATCTCCGTCCAATTGTCCAACTCCAACAAAGACTCTGCTTGAGCCTCTTTTCTTGCCTAATTTTCTCACAGTGGCTTCAGGTGGAATATTCCGATGGCCCCGAATTGTACGCATTTCGCGAACTGTGGCTGCAAAACTTCCACCACTTTGATAACAATTTTTTGCAATGAGAATTCGTTGTTGTGCATGAAATCGGTCCATTTCACTTAACCCCCTGCTGTCTACTAGCGAACTTCCTTTGTAATGTCAAACCATGACACTTCAAATGGCGCGCAATTCAAAACCGTCGTTCTTATTGGGACACCCGTTATTTGTGCGGCCGGTATTTTTGCTCAGATTAATTGAGCAACTCGATATTTTCCAGACGTGTCCCAGCTATTGCTGTGCAAACTGAAGAATGATCTGAAATATGCGGTTGGCGACAGCTCCGACCTGATGAAAGACAACACGTCGCCCGTCTGTGTGCCCCTCAAAGACCTGGAGATCTATGGAGGTAAGTCTAGTTCTCAATTTTTGGTGGTGATTTCACATTATCTTAAGTATCCTTTTTTAATTTGCGACACCCTGTAAATTGCTGGGTTGTGTTTTTCCCACTTCCGCGCATCCTCAAAAGTCTTTTGAGCTACGCTGGGTGTGCTTGGAAAAGGATAGGGAATGGATGCATCCCAGTAAAGAACAGGGACGTAAATAACCCTGTGTATATTTGAACGACATTTCATTTATTTATCCGTCAAACGTCAATTCGGAATGATTTCGTTCGCTGTCGTTCTTTTCGTTGAATTTGCGTGCGTGTTTTGCGATCTTCCCCCGGGGAATCTGACGGACTTTTCCGTCTGCAAAGTGAGCCATTTGGGCGTGGAATATCACGGTTCCATTGGAAAGACCGAGTCGAATGTGCGGTGCCAAACCTGGACCAGTAATGAGCCACATAAAGTGGGCGAGGCCCTAACGGATGACAAATTTCCGTTCGGCTCTAAGCGCGCGTCGAAAAACTACTGCAGGAATCCTGGTGAGTGGAAGCCCTAAAGGTGCGATTGGATGCCCACTCAGGGGGGCGGGTTCCCAGACAGGAAAGAGGCGGGGCCGTGGTGCTACTCGATGAGCAGTGAGCTGATTGATGAAACGTGCGCAGTGCCGCTGTGCTCGTTCTCCGAATGCAGAATAACCGGGCCGGGCATGGAATATGGCGGCGCCCATTCCAAGGGAGTCTCAGGTTGGATACGCCCATGCCTGCATAACTAATAATAAACCGCTCCTAGATAGGGCGTGTCTCAAGTGGGACAAAGAGCGCAAGAAGGTGCTGCTAAGAGGAAACTATACGAAATATGGCAGGTTTGGGGCTGGGAAGTTTCCCGATCAGAGCCTGTCCCAGGCAAAGACCTACTGCCGGAACCCTGATGGGGATTCGGGTACGAAACGTTTCCAATCCACACTGTCAGAGTAATTCTGTGCCCCACTCCCAAGGGGGCCCTTGGTGTTTCGTCAAGAACGAAGAGCAAGGCTTTGTGGAGCGGGAGTATTGCGACATTCCCTTCTGCTACGATCCAGAATGCTCGGGCTTTGCCAAGAACCACGACACCTACACGCACTACATCGACTTCAACGGTGCGAAAACCCTAGTCTAGTTTATCAGTTATGATCCTAAGCAGCAGCTTTCAGGCAGTGTTTTAACTGACATCAAGTTCGGCTTGAAGCTGTGGAACTCCGACCGTGTGAATGAGGGCAGCGCCCGACTGGTGCTAAGCGTGCTGGCCCTGCCCCTGGCTGGCCAAGAAATCGACGATCTTGGCATCGGAATCGAGATTTTCATCTCAAACAACCAATCAGCATTGAGGTAGGATCCATAGTCTTGTGGGTGTGGGCTTTGTTTCGATGTTGGTTCCTATCAGATTCGGCAATAAGGACCGGCCGGAATACGAGCCCACCCCCGGCCTGTTAACTTCGACCAACTTTACCACCTTCACCCTAAATTGGGACCGAGGGTTCATAACGTTCGGAGTGGAGGGTCGCGTCAAGCCGATTTTTTTGGCGGAGATGCGGACCAAGAACACGCTTCTGGAGGCGCAGAAGGACCGGTTTGATTTTTATGCGGTGCAAGGTACTGATGTGATTTGGACCTTTCCATTCTGCCTGGATGATGATGAGTGCGACGTGCATACCACGGTAGGCGGCGAGTTTCAGCAGTTTTGGCCCCTGAGGCAAAAGGACATCGGTGAGTGGATCAATTCACAGAATCTGCTGTTCTTAGACAGTGTCGTGCCTGCAGGGGTCGGCACACCTTCCCTATCAAATACTCTTCAAATTGCCCAACACTGGATATTACATCATTCCAGAGATAACTAAATGGCCTTTATTCGAAGTTTCTCAAGAACCATTCGAGCCACAGAATTCCTTTTGGCATCGTTGGATAGAGA